GAAAGTCTGTGGTTAGAGACCTCTCTAAAATGCTGAAGTACAAGGTTGTCAGTCTGGAGACTAAGGTGTGCCTGATACATGCTATGGTCTTTGCAATCACTTGTTATGCATCAGAGAGCTAGACAATGACTAGGGATGATAGAAGGAGAATTGATGCCTTTGAGCTGTGGTGTTGGAGAAGAGTATTGAATATACTATGGACTGCTAGGAAAACAAACAGGTTTGTCCTGAAGAGGGTGAAGCCGGCCTGCTCCTTGGGCAAGGATTCTGAAGCTTCATCTGACATACTTTGGGCATGTTGCAATGAGGGACCAGTCCTTAGAGAGGGATGTCATGCTTGGGAGGGTGGAGGGACAGCACAAGAGGAGAAGACCCTCCATGAGATGGATTGATTCAGTGACTGGGGTAATAATGGGGGCAGGTGTATTGGAGATGGTGAGATTGGCACAAGATAGGGCTGAGTTTATGGCTGTTGTACATAGGGTCACTATGAGTCACAGGTGACTCAATGGCACATAACAACAACTATAGCTGTACACTAAGGTGCACTTGTCCAGGCCATAATCTTTGCAGTTACTTGCTATTCTTCAGAAAGCTGGACAATGATGAGGGATGATAGAATTGATGCCTTTGAGCTGTGGTGTTGGACAAGAGTGTTGAATATACCATGGACTGCTAAGAGAACAAACAGGTTCATCCTGGAGAGGGTGAAACCAGGCTCCTCCTTGGAGGCAAGGATTCTGAAGCTTCGTCTAACATACTTTGGGCACGTTACAAGATGGGACCACTCCTTGGAGAGGGAGTCATGCTTGGGAGGGGGGGAGTGACAGTGTAAGAGAGGAAGACTCTTAATCAGATGGATTGATTCAGTGACTGGGGTAATGGGGATAGGTTTGTCAGAGACAATAAGATTAGCACAAGATAGAGCAGGGTTTAGGGCTGTTTTACATAAGATCGCTATGAGCTGTGTGCAACTCGATGGCATGTAACAACAACATAGCTCTACAGTGGTAGAAGGATGGACAGTCTCCTCCCATGTCAGTTACTGCCTCTGATAACCCACTGGAGGTCAGCTGTGCATTGGTTCCAACTTGATGGCATACAACAACAACAATGACAGCTCTAGTCAGGTCATGAAGTCAGCATTATTAATTTATCACTCTAGAACCTGGAAAATGTATAGAAAATGGTGCCCTCCATACAGGGTTATGACTTTTTCTCATTGTTCCTACTCCCTTCATGGTCTGCATTCTCTGGTTTGAGACTTGTTGGTAAATCATTGTTAGTGGACTTTATATGCAAGAGTGTCCTCAGTCTTTGTAGACCTTCTTAGGAACAGAGGCCCAGAAATTGAGAAATTAGCTAACAGAGGGTAGTACATGGTAGGGATTACTTAGAGAGACATTGTGACTTTGACAAATTCTATTGTAAGAATTTTCAGATGAAATACTAAATAGATATGCTTCAATATATACAATACACAAAAAATGTTGAGAAATTCCTCAGGAAATTCAGAAAACCTTTAAAAAATGAACAAAATGCTGTTCTTGTTAGTTATCTCTAGATCAGATGAGAACACTTAGCAATCCCATGTACAGCATTGGAACCTTGTCCTGTCCCGTGCCACCCTCACAATGTCTGCTATGCTTGATCCTATGGTTACAATCACTGTGCCAATCCATCTCGTTGATGATCTTCCTCTTTTTGTCTGTCTTCCACCTTTCCCAGAATGATGTCTTATTCTAAGAACTCTCCTTCCTGATACCATACCCAAAGTATGTAAGGTGAAGTTTCACAATCTTTGCCTCCAAGGACCACCCTGGTTGTGCTTTCTCCAAGACACACTTATTTTTTTGGCAGTCAATGGGATAATCTGTACTCTTCTCTAAGGATGTGGAGAGATTGGAACTTTCATGCACTGCTGATGGGATTATAAAATGGGTCAACCACTCTAGAAGGCAGTTTGGCATTTCCTTGAAAAGGTAATATAGAAATCCCATATGACTTGACTATTCCACTGCTAGGAATATACCCCAAAGAAAACAGAGCTGAAACATGAACAGACACGTATGTTCATAGCAGTGTTCTTCACAATAGCAAGAAAATGTAAACAGCCCAAATGTACATCAACAGATGAAATGGATTGAGAAATTGTACGTTCACATGGTGGAATACTATGTAACACTAAGAAGCAACAATTTTTAAAATACTATATAACATGGGAGAGGCTAGAGAGCATTATACTGTGTGAACTAACTCAGTCTTAGAAGGACAAATACTGCATAAGCCCATTATTGTAAAAATAGAAGGATAACTAGTAAAATGTGCATAAAAGTCCAAGAGAAAAAGGGGAAGGGTGCAAAACCTGGGGAGAGGGGAGGAAGTCAGTAGGATAGCAGAATTTAGTGGGACGATGAGAGGGGCAAGAGAGTAGAAAGGATCCAGTGAAAATACAGGGTAATAACAGTCATAGATCAATGGTAATTAGTTTTTTTTATTTTTGGGGTGTTTTTTTTTGCTAATTAGTTTTATTAAACAATGTATATCAATGATTATATGAAACAATGTAAATGAAAGAGTGAAACACAATGTATATGACTTTTTTTATGCAAACCAATATAAAATTAAAAAATTGGTAAGAAAATATTCTTTTACAACATCACAATTGAAATAAAGGTAGTGATTTTTCTGTCCTTATTTATTGTCCAACTTTCAAATACATAGGAAGTCATTGAAAATACTATGACTTGGATTAGGTGCACCTTAATCTTTATATTGGCATCCTTGCTCTTTGACACTTTAAAGAGGTCCTTAACATTTTCTGAGTACAATATAATCGTTCTCTTTTTTGATAATCCTTTTTTCTTTCTTGTTGTGTACTGTTGAATCAGATCCAGCTAGCACAAAAGGAGATTACCCCTCCTTCTCCATGGGAGCATCTGGTGGATTAGAACCACTCACCTTCAAGATTGCAGTTCAGGCAACATAATATGTTGATTTCATATGCTACTTCATTGAGTGTTGATTGCATGTCTAAACAGAAAAAAAATCATTGACAAAACTTTTTCTCCATCTAACATGCTGTTGTTGCCTATTGGTCTAGTGACAAGGATTTTTGCTCTCTTGATGTTGAGATATAATCCATATTGAAGAATGTAGTCTTTGATCTTCAGTATGTACTTAATGAAGTCTTAATTTTCTACAAAAAAGGTTGTGTCATCTGCATAATGCAAATTGTTGGTGAGTCTTCCTCCAATCCTGATACCATATTCTTCTTCATACAGTCCAGTTTCTTGAATTATTTGGTCAGGGTACAGATTAAATAGGTTTGGCGAAAGGATTCAACCCTGTATACTTTTCCTGATTTTAAACCATACAGAGTTCCCTTGTTCTATTCAGACAGCACTTTCTTTGTCTATAGGTTTCTCATGAGTAAAGTGTTCAGGTATTTCCATTCTTTTCAGTGTTGTTCATGAACAAATATTTTTGTTGTTTTGTGCTGTTGAGTTGCCTGTGATTCATAGTGACCTTATGTACAATAGCTCTGAACCATGCCTGGTCCTGAGCCAGTCTCACTGTCTTGGACACACCTGCCCTCACTGAGCACTGGTATTTCTTGACTATAGTGGTTTGGTATGAAGCCGGTGGGCATGTGCCCTGAGTGCATGATTCTGCAGGGCTGGCCGAGTCTTCTCTGCTGTGTCTCCTTAGTGTCTTCTCTAGCTTCTGAGGACCTGCTTCTTACTTCATCTTTTACATCTTTTCAGGCACACTCCTGACTTTCAGAGAGGTGTTGAAATATCATATTTTCTGATAAAGAGTACTTTTTCTTATAACCTTTTTTTCTTTTCCATCAGTTGATTGAATGTGGGAAAAGCAAAGCTCTTTGATCTGTCTTCATATTCTTAGATTGGCAGATCATATTTGAAAATAATGACCATTTGAACTGTCCAAGAAATACTTTATTAAGCTTTTTATCTATTTTATGTTTCTGTCTGTGTGTTACTTTATATTTTTCTATGAAGATTTCTTTAGGACCTAAAATTTCTGCAGGTAAGTATTTGACAGCTCTGTGAGAAGAAATTGGGCCTGAATGTTTGAAGTTTGTAAAAGAGAGTTAAAAAGATAAATTAGTGGAAACGTATTCTGATTTTTAATAAAAGTTCCCAAGAGATGTTTTCTTAGTAATGGATTTTTTTTTCTTTATAGGATAATAGCCAAAGTTCTGGAGGATAACAAACTACCTGGTGCAATTTGTTCCATGACTTGTGGTGGAGCGGATATTGGGTAAGTTAACAGTATTGTTGGGTAGCAGGTGTTGGGTACATTAGTGACCTAGTGGTAAGAAGCTGTGCTGTAATCTTGAAGGCACTTGGTTCAAATCTACCAGTTCTGCAGGAGAAAAATGGGCAATCTCCTTCCATGTGATTACTGCCCCTGAAAACTGCGGGAGGGTCAGCTATTGTTTGGTTTCAACTTGAGGGTATACAACAAAGTACTCTTCAAATGAAGGACTAAGCTTGAGTTACTGGAATTGTCTTTACTAGAACGCTATAGTTGTTTATAGGTGGTATCGAGTTAGTTCTGACTGACAGTGACCCCATGTACAACAGAAAGAAACCCTGCTTGATCCTGTGCCATCCTCATTCTGCTGCGTTTCAAGTCTGTGTTGCTGTCATTATTTCAAACCCAGTTCAGCAAAAGTGATAAGAATGAATATTTTAGAATACTTTTTTCTTTTTTTTAAATTTTACACTGGTTTACCTACAAAGTTTGTATTCATTGCCCTCACACCAGATGCCCCCACATCCCTAGCCCCCCATCAAACCATGTGACCCCATATCCCATAAGGACAAATACTGTATAAGACCATTATTATTATGGACTGAGTTCAGTTATTATGTATAACCTCTGTTATTATTGTGTTTCTTACAATCATTCCTATATATTGTGTCTTATAAAATTAATCAACCATTGATCTATGCCCATTATTGCTCTGTCTTTTCAGATCCCCACTGGATCTTTCTAATTCCATTACCTACTTCTGCCCACCAAACTCTGCAACCCCATGATTTATTGCCCTCCCCATCCTCAGCTCCCCTGCACCCTTCCCTCCTCTTCCCTCTTTGGACTTTTATACACATCTTTTTAGTTATCCTTCTGTGTTTACAATATTGGGCTTATACAGTATTTGTCCTTAGGAGCTTGAGTTAGTTCACCCAGCATAATGCTCCCCAGCCTCTCCCGTGTTATATAGTATTTTTTGAAATTGTTGCTCCTGAGTACTTCCAGTCATTTGTTGATGGACACTTGGGATATTTCCATTTTCTTGCTATTGTGAATAACGGCACTATGAACATAGGTAAACATAGGTGTGCAAATCTCCATTGTGGCTAGTTGGTTTTTTGGGGTATGTTTGTAGCAGTGGACTAGCTGGGTCATATGGAATTTCTATGTTCAGCTTTTTGAGGAAACATTAAGCTACCTTCCAGAATGGTTAAACCACTTTACAATCCCACCAACAGTGTATGAGAGTTCCATTCTGTCCACATCTTCTCCAATATTGTCTTTCTTTGTGAAAAGTATTCTCATGTCTTTTGTCCATTTTGTAATTGGGTCGTCAGTCTTTTTCTTGAGGAGGCCCTGTTCTATAAACTTTCATTATGAGATCCTTGTCTGAGATGTCATTGCCGAATGTTTTTAACCAGTCTGTGATTTCTTTTCACCCTTTTTGGAAAAGTTTTTGATACACACTGGGACTTATTCTTTAGAAGGTTCCAGTCATTGATATTATCCTCTCCTGGTTGTACATTTCTGGCTGTATTTGCCAGCCTCTTTATACCATAGGCTAGACTTTCTAAGTTTGGTGTAATTTTGTCATTTACGATCTTCATGGGTTTAGGCTTTACCCATAGATCTCTGATCCATTTTGAGCTGATTTTTATGTATGTTGTGAAATGTAGATCCTAATTCAGCTTTCTGAAGGTAGAAGTTCAGTTTTGCCAGCACCATTTGTTGACAAGGTTGTTTTTTCTCCATTTGATAGCCTTTGTTTCTTTTCAAATACCAATTGACTATAGATAGATGGGCTAAATTTCTGGGTCTATGTGTCTATCATTGTACAAGTACCATGCTGGTTGGTTATTTACAGTTGTATAGTAGGTTTCGAGATAAGCAGGTTTTGCCCCTCACTTCATTTTTGTTTTTCAGAAGTGCTTTGCTTATTTGAGGTCTTTTTCTTTCCAAGTTACCATTACCCTTGTCTATCTCTTTGAAAAATGAATTTGGTATCTGTATTGGGATTGCATTGAACAGGTAGATTGCTTTTGGTAGGATTGCCATTTACACCATATTGAGTCTTCCTAACCATGAACAAGGATTTGTGCATTTTTATTTTTCCATTTAGTTAGGTTTCTTATTATTTCTTGGAGTGGTGTTTTGTAGCTTTCTTTAAAAGGTCTTTCGTGCCTCTAGTGAGGTTATTTCCTGGTCTTGCCTTTTTAATTGTTTACAACAAGTATTTGAAAGGTGTTTATAACCTAAAATAATAATTTAAAATATAATTATTATGATATTAATTATTAATTATATCAATAACTTTATAATAAATTTATTATTATGCTGTAATGATAGGCAGCCCATAATTCCCTAATGTTTGATTTATAAAGCTATTTCCCCCATAGCCTAGTTTTTATGCTTCTCTTGGAACCTCTCTTTTGTCTGAGTTCTGCAGTTGACCAGTGAGGAAAACCCTAGGAAACACAGCTCCTCTGTAAACTGGGATTGATCAAAACTTTCTGAACCATGATGGAAACAGGTGCTTTTAATAGTTTTTATTATAAAAGTTGGAGTTTTTAATCCTTACTGGGTGCCACTCTACAACAGATTTCGATTCTTCTTTGCTTTTTTTTTTTAAATAAAATTTTTATTTCGTACTGATTTACTTTCAAAGTTCATATACATTGTTTTCCACACCAGATACTTCCCATTTCCTTTGCCTACCCCTCCCTCCACTCATCAAATTGTGAGACCCTTTGATTAACCACCTCCCACCACCTGGCTCATCCTTACCCCTCTGCTCCCACCCTGCTCCCCTTGGATCCTCATACACATTCTACAATAATGGTCTTATTCAATATTTGTCCTTACGGGACTGACTTAGTTCACTTAGTATAATGTTCTCCAGTCTCTCCCAAATTAGTTAGTTATTTACAAAATCATTGCTCCTGGGTGCTGCATAGTATTCTATCATGTGAATATACCATAATTTCTCAATTAATTTGATTGTGATTGGACATTTGGCCTATTTCCATGTTCTTTTAATGGTGAATACTGCTGCTATGAACATTGGTGTAGAAGTCTCCGTTTGTATCTCAGTTCTCATTTTCTTAGGATATATTCCAATCAGTAGAATAGCTGGGTCATACAGAATTTCTTTGTTCAGCTTTCTGAGGAAATTGCAAACTGCCTTCCAGAGTGGTTGCGCCATTTTACAATCCTGCCAAGAATGTATAAGAGTTCCTGTCTCACCACATCCTCTCCAGCATTTATTACTTGCTGCCCCATTAAACTTTGCCACTGCTCCTGGAGTGAGATGGTGTCTCATTGTGGTTTTGATTTGCATCTCTCTTAGTGCCACTGATTTTGAGCATTTCTTCATGTGTCTGTTGGCCATCTGAATATCCTCCTCTGTGAAAAGTCTTACTATGTCTTTGGCCCATTTTGTAATTGTGTTATCAGTCTTTTTCATGTGGAGGCCCTGTAGGATTCTGTAAACTTTCTTTTATAACTCAATAATGTAGAGAATTACTCAGTTTCCACATAGGTGGTTTTGTTGTAAGCTTTCCTTCCTGTGGTTAATGTCTAGTTTTATGACAGTATGATCTGAGAAGATACTTTGTATTATTTTAGTGTTTTTTAATTTGTTGAGGCTGCTTTGTGTCCTAATATGTGATCGATTCTGGAGAATGTACCATGTGCACTTGAGAAGGAAGTGAATTGAATTTTAATTAGGTGCAGTAACCTGAATACATCCACAAGGTCAAGTTGGCTGATTGTATGTTTTAGCTCTTCTGTATCTTTCTTTAAGTTTCTTTTGAATTGCCTTATCCTTTGATGATAGTGGTGTTTTGAAGTCTACTACCACTATTGTGGCGCTGTTTATTTCTTTTATTCTGTTAACTGTTTTGTGCATCATTCGGTGCATAACTGTTGACCAAGGTTATGTCTTTTTGATCTGTTGTGCTTTTAATCAGTATGCAATGTCCTTCCTTATCTTTTATGGTGTTTTTCATTCTGAAGTCTCTTTTATCAGAGATTAGTATTGCCACTACTTTTTTTGTGGTTACCATTTGCTTGGTATATTTTTTCCAGTCTTTGATTTTGAGTCTATCTTTCTCTCCATTTTTTAGATATGTCTTTTGTAGGTAATATTGTGATGGGCTTTGCTTTTTTATCCATTCTGCTACTCTTTTTCTATTAATTGCTGCATTTAGTCTATTCACATTAAGTATGATTATTGTTAGGCCAGATTTTAGTTTTGCCATTTTGCCGTGCTCCTTTTTCTGTTGCTTCTGGTTACTATGGTCCATCCACTTTCTTTTGGCATCTCTGTGTGAAATACTTCACTTATAATTTCTTGTAGTTTTGGTCTAGTTTTCACAAATTCCTTGTATTCCTTCTTTTCTGCAAATGATCTCATTTTTCTTTCATATTTGGTGGAGAGCTTTGCTGGGTATAGGATCCTTGGCTGGCAGTTGTTTTCTTTCAACTTTCTGTATATGCCATCCCATTGTCTTCCAGTTAGCATAGTTTCTGCTTAGAAATCAGAATTTAATTGTTTCTCCTTTGTAGGTAACTCTTTGTTTTTCTTGTGCTGCTTTTTAGAATTCTATCCTTATCTTTTAATTTGGAGAATTGACTATGATATGTCTTAGTGTTTTCCTTTTGGGGAATGTTTTCTATTTGGTGTTAGCTGTGCTTCTTGAATGTGGATTTTCTCTTTCTTCAAAATACCAGTGAAGTTTTCTTCTAGTAATTCTTCCGGTATTTTTCCTGTGACTTACCTGTCACTCCCATGTTCTGGAATTCCAGTCATACTTACGTTGTTCCTTTTGATGTCATCGCACATGATTCTAATGTTTCCTTTATTTTGTTCATTTTTCATCTCTTTAATATCTCCTAGTATGTTTCCAGTGAAGCTCTCATCTTCCAGCTCACTGTTTCTCTGTTCCATCTCTTCAGTTCTACTTTTTTGTCCTATCAGTGTGTAGGATATGTCTATAATTTCTGTCTTAATATTCTGGATTGCATTTTCATGCTTTTCTGTTATTTCCAGTACTGTGTTTTCTATACCCTCTCTGTGTTGTGATGATTTTTTTTTAAGTTCTTTAGCTATCTTCTCAATTCTTTCATTTTTTGCCATTTTCTTCTATAGCTGTTCAATTTGGTCTTCATGGATTTTTTTTTACCCTGGATTATTGTCTCTGGGATATTTACTCTCTTAATGACATCCATTGTTTCTTCCATCATTTGCATCTTCTTTTGTAGCTGTTCAAATAACTCCACATCAACATATTTTTTTCTGGTTCTATCTGGGTTGTTCATTTGGTCTGCCTTTTTAGGAGAATGTTTATTTTTTCATGATGACTGAGACAGACTGCTGCTTTCTTGACATCATATGAGTCTTTTCTTAGTAGATACTGGGTTTGTTGTAACTATATAATGACCCAGGGTTTGGCAATGTTTTGTGAAGGACCTGTATATTGGTGCACCCCTCTTGGGAAGAACAGTCAACCAGGAATGGGATGACTGTTCCCCTCCTGAAACCATGCTTCCACCTGGCGTCTTCTGCTTGAGCTTAAGAAATTCCACATGATGTAGCTAGACAGCAGTGTTTCACCCAAAGGACCAGTGATATTGGTGCTCCTGGACAGCAGGGCTGGCAGCTGGGCAGTCTCCAGGCAGTGGGATCTCCAGGCGGTGGGGTAGCAGTCTAGTACTCTGGGCTGGATTGAGATCTAAAAGTGCAGCCCTTCAACCTGGCAGGCAGTGGTTCTCTCACTGGGCAGGGTGTGAGTGAGCCTGAGTTTGGCTGCAGCCTTTAGTAGACGTAGGAAAGTGGTGGCTGGGAGACGCTCCTGGGCCAGCCATGCCATACAGACCTTGCTGTCTTGCAGCAGAGCGAAGGTCTTCTCTTTTTCTTGTACAGGTTCAGAAAGGAGTGCAAGGATAAGTCACTACTTTTTTCATATAAATGAGAAAATACAATCTTTGTGTGAACATTGTATAGTAAATAATTTTCTAAATGTTTTATAAAATATTAAATGTTTAGTCCTTTGTCCTACTCTGTCCTTGGTTAGCAGTATAGCACACTGCTGACTCTGCCCCCTCAGCTCCATGCGTGAACTCTGTTCTTATACTCTGGGCATCCAGTCCATTGTGTTGGACTTGGAATAGCTCAAAGAGTTAGAGCAGTGATACATGGGGGCACAACAGGGAACAAATTATTTGAGTATCTGTGCTTGTGTTTTATAGGTTTATTCTGGGGTAATCTGCCTCGGCCATTACTGCCCTGAACTAAATTGATGATACAGGTGGATTTCTTGATTCTCCCTGCACTCTTTGAAACACTGAACTATAAGCAAAAAACTCAGATAGTTCTACATTCCTTAGAAGCAATTAGAAATCCTTGCATAATCTTTAAGTCTGTTATCAGGAAGGATAAGATACAGTGTTTCCTAAAGTCTTCTAAGTTTTTAACTCTCGAAATAATCATTAACTTAAATGTTTACATAATAACTGGAATGCTCTTGCTTCATGCAATCACAAGGAAATGCTTAAGATCATGCTGCACAGTCACCCATTCATTGCAGGTAGGTCTTTCCTGCTTAATATTCTCTTAGCTAATGTTGATGTTACCTTGTTCTGTGGTCTAGTTCTACCTGTAGGAAGTCTGGATTTCATGGAGATTGTCCTTTGTTTTCTTGAGGTAATTTTCCTGGTAGCTTTGGCTGTTTAACTGCATGTTAGTGCCTTCTGTTGGTATCAGTAAGTGAGTGCTGCCTTTGCTGGGTTTACATGCTTGAGTGATCATACCTTTTTCCCCTACAGCACAGCGATGGCCAGAGATGAGCATGTGAATCTGCTGTCTTTCACTGGGAGCACTCAGGTGGGAAAACAGGTGGCCCTTATGGTTCAGGAGAGGTTTGGTAAGTGCTAGCTTTCTGATGAGGCTTTTAATTCCCTCAGAAGTCTAGATATAGAATCTGGAAGGTAGGGCTATTTTTTTTAAAGCTCTTTCGGTGAAGATACTAACCATGATTTGAACGTTCAAGTACAAGAAATGGATAGTTATTAGTAGGTTCGTATTAGGAAACTCCCAAATTCTAATAGCCATAATTTGGAAAAGTGTGATTTACACTCTCAGTGACTTAAAATAGAATGATAACACATGTAATCATCAAATTTAACCATATAGTTTAAATGGGACCAGTGAGTACAGAACTTAAAGTGAGTGTGGAATAAAAGACTTAAACCTGTTATTCAATATGAATTTATCTGATTTCAGCCTACATGACTGAAGGGTTTGTATATACTCAGCTTTGTATGCTCTATTTTATGGTTTTTTAGAAATTTCAAGAATAATGTTAAGCAACAATTTTTTGCTATTAGACTGAATTTGGACTCAACCCATACCACATGACACAGCTTAACTAGTTCATCTGCAAACTGTTCAGCTGTGCAGGCTTTGCGTTTAAGTAGAGGATACTTTCCAATATTTTATAAAGTTAAAAATCCATAAAACTAGATTTCTGGGAAAATGTTAAAGTGCCTTATTGATATTCTTGAAATTAGGAAATTCTCAGAGTTGCTGTTGTTGTTATGTGCCACCGAGTCGTTTG